AAAATAGCATATCATTTGCATGTAAACCATGATCATCTTTTCACACACTTTCTATCATGTGTCAATTTGTGGATGCAGTGTGAGTCCCGTATGAAGGTTGTTATACTGTTCTGTTTAAGAAATGATGCCAAAGACAAGCTCTACCTGGTTAGCACAGATGCAGTTATTGCATGTATAAATGTGTAGCACATGACTTGAACCTGTTGAATCCACAAATGTGGAGCCCAGGGATATAAGGGCTGGCCGTATTTTACAGAGCAGTCATGACAGTATGAGCTGGGACTCAGAGCAGAACATGTCAACCAGCGATGTGGGGTAGATGCCTAAGGAACAAAGAAACTGAGCAGTTGGCCTTTGAATCACTGTCCTGAGCAACCTGCTTTAAACTTACTTGTGTCAGCAGTGATGAGATTAAAGTGCTATCATGAATCCAGTACCAGGTTTCTTCATCTCTAACTGTGTGACCTCAGGCAAGTTACATAGTCTCTCTGAGATGTAATTCCCACTTAGAAAAGAAAGAAATACAAAGGATGTGTGTGTGTGTGTGTGTGTGTGTGTGTGTGTGTGTGTGTGAAGAAATAGAATACTAGTGGAAGGTGCCCAGCAAATATTTGCATATAATTAATGCTCAATAAATAACAAATGCTAATAACAACAACATTTTGAGTTAGTAATGAATATGAATATATTATGAGAAGAATAGAACCATAATTACACACTTTTCCTATATTAAAAATCATTAGGTGAACAGAGTGGAACAAGCAAAGTCATCCCTGTATCAATAAACACCCCAAAGCATTACAGCTATAGAAGCTTACACAGCTACGGGATTTCAAAGAAATACATATGCTAACAGAATACTCAATAACTTTACCCAGACTGTGACTATAGAGTGCAAAAATAGTTTTACATTTTTTCTTTCATTCTCTTCTTCAAGTAGTCAACACAACCACCTATGATGGCTCTATGAAGATGGGAGTTTAAAGCCAGCTGCTGTTAGGTAGGAGGGAAAGATGAGCAGCCCACAGAGGCTGACACAGAAGAGCTGGCATAGATGGCACCCTAAAATACCACAGACCAATGCCTCGAGCATGATTGTGACAGGAGGATCTCAGAAATAAACCTACCCTGATAAGAGGTTGCCTGCCTTTACTTTGTAGGTGAAACTCCAAAGAACTCTGTGCCTTTGGAATTCTAACCTTCCCTCCCAGGGAGTCGTGTGTGGGGCAGAGGATACAGTTCCCACTAAGTGCTCCCACCTGTACATGCAGAGCTGTGCCCATCATGTTTCAGCAACAGGCTCCAATAATAAACACAAACATTTCATACATCAAGCTAATTTCCCCAAGAAATTCCACTCCCAACACATTTAGAATGGGAAGAAAAAATATGTTCTTTGGGTTGCCATGGAAAGTATGTGATTGATTTCAGAATTCCATATTCCCTGCAAGTCTAGGGAATGTGTGAATCACACTGTCATCCAGAGTCATGAGGGCATTTGCAGTATTGTTTAGTGAAGACCACACTGACATGGTGAGCCTGCTTGGTCCTCGGTGTTAGCACTGCCTCTTGGCCTTCATTGCAGATCGGCTGTGCCACTTAGACTCTAACACGTGTGCTTTGCCAGGAAAACATTGTTTTATTGCTGTTGTTTTGGTTTGATTTGGTTTTTGCTCAAGTTCACAACTAGCGTAGTTCCTACACTGACATTAAAACCTAAGTGTGAAATCCAGCAACATTAGTTGCTACCTGAGCCCCACTCATCAGGAACAGGTTAGTATCTCATCACCATGCCTCTCAGGAACACATGCATGTAAGCTTTCATAACTCACATGTGTCATTCAGTGTTAAAGACGCTTACAATTCAAAAAAGAAACTCCAAAATTACTTGAATAAAATTTTAATTACTTTATAAATAAATCAAACTAAAATAAAAACTCCACCTGGTACTACACTGTTTTAGATTAGACGCTAAGCTACCCACAGAATCATTTGTTTATTGAATAATTTGGGTGGAGATCTTTTTGGTGGGCTGCAGGGATACAGCTTTAGGGCCAGTCCCTGCTTTTAAGCATCCAGGGAAGCCAGTGGAAGAAGGATTAGTAGATGGGCTGTGTGTCCTGCTTGTACCCTGCTTATGGTCAGAGGCCTTGAGGGGAAGAAAGGCTCCAGTATTGACAGTCTTGGAATAAAGACTCTTGATTTTTTTTCACATATGTATGTATGTGATGTGCATGTTCACATATAGGAAACCACGTGTGTAAGAGGGAGCATGCGTGTATGTGTGTGCCAGTGTGAAAGCCTGAGGTTAACATCAGGATTGACCATGAATGATTTCTAGTATATTCATTGAAAGGGAGAGGTCTCTCAATTGAATCCAGGGCTAACCATTTAGCAGAGAGCTTGCCAGCTTGCTCTAATGATCCAACTCTCTCTGCCTTCCAAGTCCTGGAATTACAGGAAGGCTGTCACACTCACCACGCAAGAGTCCTTATAGCAAACTCTCTATCAACTGAGCTACCTGCCCAGCCCTGACTCCTCTGATTTTTAACACACCTTCAGTAAGATGAAAGCAATGCAAGGAGCTTTGGATTAGTAAATTCAAATTCTGCTGTCTGCTTGTGTCTATGATCTGAAAGAACTGGCTTAACTTTTCACAGTTCTTACACATTTTTAATGGGGATATTACCATGAGCCTCTGATTATTTGAAAGGACTATAAAATAAATAAAACAATGCTCTGCACTCATCAAGTGGTTATTGTTACTTGATACATGATCCAATAAGATTTTGCTTCTGTGTGAGAATATGATAAGATTTGGCTCTTCTGTATTGTGGGGTGGAAAGAAGTGTCAGATAGGCCATAGGGCTTATGATCTCCATATACACACGATGCTCTGTTCATCCAAACACAGAATCCAGTCAGCATTGTAGCTGCAGGTCATGGTGGAAGAAAACAAAAAGGCAGACACTAGGCTCCAGAGAAACTACATTTACTGCAGCTCCTAGAAAAAAGTAGGTCTGGACAGGAGCAGGTGGGGTTGCTGCTAATGGTCCTAGAAGAGCAGCCTCCATGAATACTGCCACAACCACAATGATGTCAAATTAATAAAATAAAATAAATTCAGGAAGGCATGAAAAAGACCATACATGTGTGTGGAAGGAGTCCCAAGTGAATGAATATATGTTGTGGACATGAGCATGGCCATGTCAAGGACCCCAATGCCTCAGGCTCAAGGAAATGGCAAAGCCTTCCCCTGGTCCACACGAAGATGTTGACAATGGATGCTCCACAATGTCTGCTACAGCTTCCTCAGGATGTTTACAGCCTGAGACTGCTCCCCTAGCATACCCCTGTGGAGATTAACTAAACCTGCCTTGATTCAGGTACATAAAGTAAATTGTGAATATAAGTTTCTGGGATGCTGCTTGTGTGTCCCCATCAGAGTGCAAGGCCCACCTGATCCCAGATCCCAGATTCTCTCTCTCTCTCTCTCTCTCTCTCTCTCTCTCTCTCTCTCTCTTCTCTCTCTTCCTTTTCTTCTTCCTTCTCTCTTTGCTCTCTTTGTGTATTCTCCCTAGTTAGGCCAGTTCCTAAGCCATGAAGGTCACAGTATGTATGTGTGCCAGATACCAAGAACTATACCAGGCAAGAACCATTATAAGAACTTGCTTTGCTAGATCCACATCTTTACACAAAGACCACTGCTGTATCTCTCTCACACACACACACACACACACACACACACACACACACATTGGGTGCACCTGTAAGGGCATCTGTGTCAGCTGTGGTCTGACACATTTCACCCCTATGAAATGGGTCCTTGCAGCCAACAATGAGGCCCTTCTGCCTTTAAAATCCTTGGATCCTCTGCATCACTGGATACTTACGTCATTTGACAGGGGACAGGCAGTACTGTGCTCTTCTTTACAAACTCATGGCTTTAAAAGCTTTAAAAACCCATGGCTTTTAAAGGCGTTGGTGGCTCATGCCTTTAATCCCAGCACTTGGGAGGCAGAGGCAGGTGGATCTCTGTGAGTTCGAGGCCAGCCTGGTCTCTAGAGCAAGTGCCAGGATGGGCTCCAAAGCTACACAGAGAAACCCTGTCTCGAAGAAAAAAAAAAAAAAGAAAAAAACCAAAAAACATGGCTTTGGGTGAATTTCTGTTTATTTTATTTTTGACACTAAAGGATATCTGTCTTCCAACTTGTGTATCACACCATCATTTAAATTCCTTTGGCCTGAAAAATGCAAGAATGCAAACCAGTTCCCTGCTGCTGGTATCTGGGGGCTAAGCTGAACACAGACTTGGGTGTGATGAATTAGGATCTCTCCAGCAGCACCCTAGATTACAAGTTCAAAGATGACAAGCTAAGGTCCAGAGTATGAAGTGTAACCATTTTAGAAGCATCTGATGGTATTAAATGTGCCAGGATTCTGTGAATCCCTTTTTTAAGGAGCACAAAGGGAGGCCCTGGGAGGCCCTGAGACATCCTAAAGAGCCTTGGATGCAAAAGAAGCCTTGAAAACTATAGAAGATCTGAGTAGAGGTAGAGAGTCCTTGTCTTCAGGCAGGGGCTGGCCTCTCCAGGACCATCCGAGAAAGCCATGGGTGTTATTGGTGCAGTGTACTGCAGATGCAGTAGAGTTCACACAGTCACCCCCACATGGTCTCAGGGCTGTCAATATAACAGTGATCCTCAAACTATGGGTTTTGACCTCATTAGGAGTTGCATATCAGATATTTACATCATGGTTCATAACAGTAGTAAAATTGCTGTAATGAAGCAGCAACTAAATACTTCTATGGTTGGGGGTTATGACAGCATGAGGAACTGTACTAAAGGGCTGCATCATGAGAAAGGTTGAGAAGCACTTCTGAGTAAGGAGACTGGGCAGAGGAAGGTGAGTGGGTGGACTGTCACTCTGCTAGCTCTAACTTAGGGATGTGGCGTCTCTGTTCTTCACCACCCACCTTTCATGTACTTCATTCTCAGGTTTCACCACGGCTGCTCCTGTCATTGGTTATCCAGGAGGTGACATGGATAAACCCTTGAAATCACATTCATCACATACAGGCTGCCAAGAGCATTCATTCACACGGAACAAGGGATGCAGGAAACACTTCAGAGGACAGCCCTCATCTCTTCCTTCAAGCCAGACCTACCAATTCTGCTGTTCCATGATGTGCTGCATTGAACAAAAGGGGATTTGGTACCCGGTGGCCGAGAAGTGAGCCTCAAGGGGCCCATCAGGCCACTAGATCTGTTTCTCTGGGTGCATGACTGCCACACACATCATGACTCCACCTCCTCAAGACCTGTGTCCTGAGTCTTCTGTGCAGCTGTGCCTTCCAGGCCCTTCATGGTGGCCTTCGTTTCTGTCTGTCTTTCCCTGCTACCTGATAAGACTAATTTTGCTTCTAATTTCATATCTTGGCGGAGCTCTTGGGGGGATTATTCATGATTTCCATTTGTCTTTTCTTACTACCGTAGCTCAGACTCCACAAACAACTCTAGGGTGTGGGTAGCTCATACTTGCTAGCTATCTGCCAGTCTGCTGAGGAACTGGAGACAGACCAGCTGGGTGGGGCCACAGACCCAGAGACTCACTGTAACCCAGACATTAGCCGGATTCTCATACGACTTGACTCCATGGACCCTCACTATAACATGACAGACAAAATGAGGCTGTGAGTCTGTGCCCAACAGTCTGAAACATCTGGTAGGTCCTCTCCCTGACAATAGTCAAGAGTGTAAGTGACCAGGGCCCCTTTGGGAAAGGACTAAGGGAATAATTACACACTGGCCATGGTGCTGTGGACTCCTTCCTTCAAGGACAAACCCTACTAGGCTTCAGATCTAGAATGGGCTAGGTAGTGAGCTGAATTGAACTCGAGGCTGTGGCTTATTGTAGGGATTGCCTACCCCCTGCTCCTCTTTTCTTCCCTTTGAAGCACCTGTTCTAAATGCTCATCAGCATTGGTGATTCTTCTTGTTATCGTAAGAAGCAATTCTGTTAAAACAATACCTCTAATGTTCTCTGTGAGCCCATTCCCCTCAAGTCCCTCTACCCTGCTGTTCCTTACAGTGGTTGTAGCCTCTTGGTCTCTTACAATTAACCTCAACTTACATGGAGGAGTCTTGGCTTTACTGGTCACCAATTCCTAGAGAGGTGTCCCATAGCTGGTACTGGGATCTTAATTTAGTAACTCATTGCTTTGAAGATCAGTATTGATACTCTCTGGCATCCCAAGGCCCTGTGTATGAAACCTCTATCCAAAGTTTTTTTTATTTAATTTTGGTTTTCATGTGCCTTCTTTATACATTCTTTATCACTATTTACCATTCTATGCCTGTTTAAGCATTGCCATCCCAATATTTCCTCACTCTATTTTCATAGCACGTATGTTCTGCCATCCCCACATACCTCAAGATGTCTGAATTATGCTTTTATCCATGCTCAACATGGCCCCTTTCTCCCTTCTAGATCTCTATAGATATTCCAATTTTAACAAACAAATCTAAAAATTCAAAGCTATGACCCAAATACGAAAGAGAATATGCTGTGTTTGGTTGAGTTTGGGGGCTGGGTTAGCCAGCTTGGTATAATGTTAAATGAATAACTAGAAAAGATTTTCTCCCATTCTGTATGCTGTTCCTTCACTAGACTGACAGAAGAGTTTTAGTTTCCTGAGTCCCCTGAGATATTTTTGTCAATTGTTGCTCTTAATTTTCCTACAAAACTGGAATCCTGTTCAGAAAGTTCTTGTCTGTGACTCTATGTTGAAGTACACTCACAGACTTTTTCAATAGCACTTTCAAAGTATCAGGTCTTATGTTGAAGTCCTTGACACATTTGGAATTGAGTTTTATGCAAGATGAGAGATAAAGCCCTAGCTTCACTTTTTAAAAAGTGTTTGATTTTTTTAAGACTGTGGGACTTTTGAAGTCATTTATGTTTTATATTGTGATATATTGGAGGTTGAATAAGAAAGGAAAAGTTATGGTTTAATAACAATCTAATAGTAATGTATTTGGTGTTCAAGTTGGCATGGGTTGAATTGTTCTTTTCTCTCTCCTTTTTTGTCAACTTGACACAAGCTACAGTCACATCCTCTTTCTCCAGCATCATTTGTTGATACTGTCTTTCCTCTAGTGAATAGTTTGGAATTTTCATTACAAATCAGATAGATATAGTTGCATTAGCTTATTCTTTTAATCTGCATGTCTGTTTTGTGTCAGTACCATTCTGTTTTGATGACTGTACCTCAATAGTATAACTTGGAATCAGGTATGGTGATACCTCCTACAGTGTTCTTTTTGTTCAGGACAGCTTTGGCTGTCCTTAGTCTGTGTCTCCATATAATTTTAAAAATCCTTTTCCTGCATCTTGGAAGAACGGCTCTGGAGTTCTGGTGGGGACTGCACTAAATTTTCAGTTGCTTTGGTGAAGTGACCATTTTCACAATATTAATTCTTTCAACCCATGCACATGGGAGGTCTTTCTGTCTTCTAGTGTCTACCTCAATTTCTTTCTCCAGTGTTTTAAAGTTTTTGTTACAAAGGTTTTTCATTCCCTTGCTTAGAATTATTCACAGGGTATTTAATTTTTTATGGCTATTGTAAATAGGATTGTTTCTCTAGTTTCTTAATCTGTTTGTCATTGGTGTGTTTAGGAAAGTGCATATATTCTGGGGTCTCCATTGCATCTTACACTTGCAACAAAACTTGGCAATATGTAAGAGTCAATCAGATAGTAATGGCTTTGAAGAAATGAGGGAGTCATGGAGAATAGTTGAGGTTTGCACCTGTGGGACATGGCTGGAGGCTCTGAGGAAAGGCTAAGAGAGCCCACTGGTGAAGATGCAGCCTCAGTTGCAGTGGAGACTTCAGTATACTAGAAATACCAGTACCATGGGATAATGGCTAAGGACTAAGCAATCAGTACAAAGTAGAGCTACCAGACAAGCTGCATGAACTTCAGATGGCAGAGACTAGAAGTGAAACTGCCCAGGCTCTTTGGAGCCCAAAAGATTGTGAGTGGTACTCAGACATCAACCACTGAATTTTTGTACTGTTGAATCTTGCTTTTGCTTTGCTTTAATTGTTACTGTGTCCTGACTTTTCTGTCTTGAAATAAGAAAGTATTTGACTTGTTTTTGTTTGTTTGTTTAATTTTATTTTACAGGAGCCCTTAACGATAACTCTTTCTGCCAGCCGCCCAAGCCTTGCCGCCAGGCTAGGGCCCCCAAACAACACAGAGTCTTATACTAGTTACATGCTGCTGGCCAATGACTCTGATTTTGTATCTGATAGCTCAGTCTTAATTATCAACCTTAACTACTAATCTATATATTTTTATAAGGACTTATCTTATGGAGAATGCTGGCCTTATGTGTCCTCTCTTCCAGGCGATCACATGGCGACTCCTCTCCTATTGTATTTCCCAGAATCCTCCTTCTCTACTAGTCCCACCTAACTTGCTTCTCTATTGGCCAACAGTGCTTTATTTATCAACCAATAAGACAAACATTTACACAGAAAGACCTCCCCATCAGAGCCCACAGTTCAGATACTTTTAACTTTCGAAAAGGTGTTGGACGTTTTAAAGTAACAGAACTTTTTAAAGGGTTTGAATTTTATTTTAAAGACTAAGAGACTTTAGAGTAACCTGAGTAGCATTGTGTTGGATATTCTTTGAAGAGCTGGTAGAACTGTTTGGATAGTGTATATGGTCCTATTCCGCCCCCCCCACACACACACTGAGAGATGTTTTACTATTCAGTATCATTGCAGGTTATAGATCTATTTACATGATTTATCTTATTTTGGTTTGCACCCGCCCATTCAGGTCAGATGATGAAGCTCATGAGTGCCTGTGCTTTCCTATTAACTATAGTTTCTCTTTCTCCTCTGCTGGATATATAACCAACTCAGCAAAACCAAGCAATGCCACTGCTCAACAGACACCAATACTCCGTATTTGCAAATGCTTGCATCATTGCAACTGTCTTGACATCATCCTCCATGGCTACCTTAGTGATGTTTTCAACAGCTAAGCTTCCACATTATGTAAAGGGCAGTATTTCATGCCTCTTACCCCAGGATAGTGACCATGTCAGCTGCCAACCAGTGCATGATCCAATCTCTAAACTGCTACTCAAACCATGCTTAATGCCATTGGTGTTTAACTGTATCTTCTGAGAAGCAGACAGGACTACAGGCAACTCCCCATCATGTTCAGCACTCCAATGAACTGAGGACCCAATATCTGGTTAAAGAAATGATCTGACTAGACACATACAGAGTTTTTTCTGTCATTATTCCCTAATAAAATGGTGATTTACACACATTAGTTTTTATAAGAACTCTAGATACAGTACAGAGCTCACAAGAGGATTGTATATAGGTTCTACACAAATGCTATATATACTATTTCATATAAGAGACTTGAGTATCTGTACATGTTGACATCCTGGAACCAATCCCCTACTGAGGTAGAAAGCTGCTCTATCTAAACTGAAATTACATAGGTTCTTATTAGTAAACATTATTGTGTGAGGGTGAAAAGGCCTGAAAACACAGTCCTCTGACTATGCATGTGACCCAAGTAAATAAAGGGATGGGTATCCAGTCCATTGGCTGGTACTTCTGGGCAAACATATTGTGTGGCTAGAGCTCTGGGTGGAGAGCATCCTTGTCCACTATGGAGTAGAAGCCACACTTCTAGTAGAGCTCTTTCAAGATCTTTGGAGCCACCACATGCCGAAAGTTTGCTATTATGACCGTAATGAGAAAATCAGTAGGACATGAGATACTAATTTATACTCTGTTTAGAGAAGATTGAACTTCCCTTCTGTGGCCCAAAGGTGAAACCAGATGTCACAGAGGAAGAGGGGGGAGTGGTACCCAGCGGGCACACCCCTCCCACCCACAGTGAGTTTTCTTAATGGCTGTCTGTCTTATATCCAGCAACTATAGCTTTAAGGGCTTTAGGGAACATTTATTCTTTATTATGACACAATACGAATAAACCACAGAGCCAAGTTCATGGAGACAAAGTCAGGGATGCCAGGAGCCTGCTGTGGAGGGATGTGCCTTTACTACTATTTCTTCAGGGGACAAAGACAGGCTGGTGCTTTTATGAGACACTGTGGTGGTTGTATTCATTAGTAGCAAGCACTGAGAAGTTAAGCTCCCACTGTAATATGCCATTCATGGCCTGTTTAATATACTAAGTGTGATGGCTAGACCCCTGCTGACTTCCACTGGGGAACATAAATATACAGGCAACTAAACTAAACAGCTACCTGTGACTATTTGAAAATATACTTCCCCAAGACAGAATGAATTTTCATTTTTATTGGATTTTTTGAAAAAATTCTTCCAGGTGGAAATCATCTTCATATACCTATGAACCATCACTCTTTGCTGACAAATGATGCTACTGAGACTGCTTTTTGAGCTGTATTATTAAATCATTGTTAAATTATTGACTAATTACAGTTGTGTTTTGTTTAACTTGATTTCATCTACTCATTTAAAAAAATTCAAGTCTAATTTTGTGTATCAGTATATTTTATAGACTCGCAGAACCTTTAAAGAAAAACCAAGCATTGTGAGTGAAAACATGATTTAGATTAGGAGAAAATAAACAGATTTTCCAGCTGTAAGAGAAAAGTGCCCTCTGATGATGGACACTTGGGATCTGATTTCCATCCTCAGGAAGTACCACCCATCCACCCTGTTGGGCACTGCCCACAATGTCAGTTAACACTGGTGTCTTCACACAGTTCCAATGCTCTCTTGGGTCCCACTTGTGACTCGAGCAACAACTAAGGCAACACCTGGAAGCCTTTTCTTTGGGACCTACCAGACACTAGTGCTGGGACACTAGCTTATGGATCAAAAAGTCCTCATGTGTGCGATGTCCTAGTTGCCATTCTGTGAAACATAAATGCTCACCAATGAAGTTGCCCCAACAGCCAGTGTGGCACCCTGGGATGTGGGCTAGAGAAAGATACGGCTACCAACCAATGCCTGCCTACGTCTGTCTAACAGGCAGATATCTGTTGACAGCTCATTGTAAACACAGGTACACAAATACACTCTCCTGCATGGTTTCACACATATAAGTGTGCAGAGAGGGGGGGAGCAAGTACGTACCTGGGCCTCTCCACTACTCAAGATTAAGTCTAGCAGAAGGGACAATAATGTAGTCAGGGGATTAACCATGAGATAGATGTGGATGATGCTGAGCTCACATAGAAAACTGTTTCACAGAAAGAAACAGTTCTCTTAAACACAAGGAGCATGCTATACAGTAGAGACCAAAAGCCCACTTCAGTAAATTCACACTCTAAGTACCACAGTGATTTTCTCCATAATAAAGCAGTAAACATTGTTCACAGCCTGTACTTTTGGATGCTTGGTAACACAGTGAGTCTGTCCATGCCAGTGTCACTACAGCTCCATTATAATCCAGGGACCACTGTTTTATCTGTGGTCTTCTCACTGACTGTAGTGTTATTTTGCAATGCATGACTGAACTTCTCTCTACCTTTTTGCAGTACAAGAACTCTGGTTTTAAAAGCACAGACTCAGTGTGATGAGTCATACCCTCAGGGCCCTCCAATCAGAACACCAGCTTTCAGGCAATGTGATCCTTGCAAAACTTCTCCATCCTGTGGGGTCAGCTTTCTGTTCCTGTGATGAACCAGCTTATGAAGAAGAAAGGTTTATTGTGGTTCACGTTTTGGAGGTTCTAAGCCAGGGCTCCCTGGCTTGAGTGCTTTGCCCTTGACATGAGCATTGAAGGGAATAATAATGAGACGTTAATTAATTATGAGATGTTAATTAATGTAATAGTTGATACTCCTAAATTTAATGGTTTGATTAGTCATCGTGGCTGGAGTCTGTGGCAGAGAAAGTTGCTCTCTTCGTGACAAATGGGAAGCAAAGAGGAAAAGGAAGAGGCTGTGGTCCCAATATTCCTCTCAAGAGCACACACATAGTGAAAAAAAAAATCTTCTTCTAGCAGGCCCATCTCCAAACAGTCCAGCACTTTCCAAAGGCACCAATGGCACCACAAAGCCCAAGTGCACCTTTGGGGCATGTTTAAGATCTAAATTGTAGCAAGGACTATTCGGTCATCACCACTGTCCTGGAAAACCAGTGTCACTCTTTCCTTTTCAAGTCTAGATGTTGGTGCTCAACAGGCTTCAGGGAAAGCTCAGGACAGAGCTGTCACTCTCCTGGACTTCTCCTGATTGTCTTGCCTCAGCACTGGTGACAGTAGGACCGGTAGGGTTGACCAAGTTCCCTTTTAGAGTTGGATCCTTTTATAAGATAAATCAGTAACCTTTCTCTAGTGTATTTCCTTGGGAACCTCTATTTTGTTGGCTGATAAAACAGGCAGCTGGCAGCTTTTTTTCGGAATGATTCCTGAAATAGGCAGGCTTTGGGGTAAGAAGCATATCAAGGGCCCAGCTGGGTGTAGTCTGTCAAAGTCTCCTCCCCACCCTGCCAGCACCATGTGACCAGGGCGGAGGTAAGGGAACACTTCCTCTGCTGAGCACCTGTCCAAGCCTGGACAGAACACCACAGCCTGCTCCTTTGTTTCTTTGCACAGCTGAGAAAGCTTGGGGTTTTCAAAAGAAATCCTTCCTAAAACATCACTGAGAAGCAAACAATATGTGACCAAAGAAAAGACCAAAAGCTAAAAACCACCTTCAAAGTTCTGAGGTCCACAAAAGCCACCCTTCACCCCTACCCCCAACCCGTACCCCAAGTTTGCAGGCTTGTTTGGTTTCCTGGCCTTCTAAGTCTTCTTCATCTCCTGCTCCCCTTCTCCCTGCCATGCCTGTCTTTGTCTCCTCTTTTCTAAGGGAGACACTCTTGCCACATAAGAAATAGAAGATGAACAGCTGGTGTCACCGCTGAAAAACAGCAGCCCTGCCCCGGAAATGTGCCACATGAGGAAGAGGAGGCCACCGGCTCAGGACTGTGCTCCCTTCCCTGGTGCAAGGGGTGTAGGGACCAGGACAAGAGAGCAGAGATTCGGAGCTGTTCTCTGCATCTGTGACCTGCCAGTTGTCCTGGGCATGTGACAGAATTGGATGGGCCCCAGTGCCCTCAGCAAGATGGAAATAACTATGT